ACTCAGTGGCCAGTGGGGCAGGATGCAGGTGATGGCTAGCAGGCAGTGGCCACACTAGCTTGTGGGCATCTGAGCCAAGTTGTGACTAAGAGAGCTGAGAACAAGAAAAAGCAGGGTCTGTGCAAAGAGGACAGTTGGTAGCAAGGGCACAGCTAAGGGACAGCAAACAGTCAAGAGATAGCAGGCAGTCAGGGGACAGCAGGCACAGCCAAGGGACACTGGGGGTGGCCGAAGGATATCAAGTAGTCAAGGGAGAGCAGGCACACTGAGCAGGTGGCCAGCATGGCTGCAGGGCAGTGGGTGAGGGGAGCTGAGGACAGAGCCAGGTAGAGGCTAGACCCAGCCATCAGGCTGCGAGAAGAGCCTGGAGCTATGCAGACTAAGGAAGGCTTGTGCTGTTTCCATTCTCGGTGCCCAAAAGCCAGGTGTCCACGGAGGCTGCTGGACATAAGTGCTGCCTAAAGCTGACCTGGCATAAGGCCCCTGCAAGATCTCAGATTCACAGGACTCTTCCACCAACCAAAACTCAGAATCAACGGCCATGAGAAGAGGGGGAGCTCTTGGCCCAGAGCTGAGCAAAATCATTCCCAGGACTCACTGGGAGGAGTTTGGAGGGCCTGGGACCTGCCTGCTGGGCATCCTCCATGTCCTACCCCAGCATCAGGGAGCACTCACACACTAGTCCTCACAGATGTGTACCCACTCTGCCCATACCTGTCCTCTGCCCAGCAAGGTCAGTGAAACCTGCAGATTCCGACATCTGTGTGGAGATGGCTTGGGTCGTTCTAAAGGGAGAAGGGAGTATCCTGAGAGCCCTGGAATAGACCTCCCCACCCTCCACCCTTGGACAGGAGCTCTTAAAAGACAGAGGTCCCGGGGGCAACAGGATGCTGCAGAAGGGGGGCTACACATCAGAAGAATCAGCCCCAGGAAGCCCTTGTTTCACAATGGGGAAACTGAGGCACAGAGAAGGAAGAGCCACACAGCCTGCAGGAGTGAGAGCTGGGCTGTGTCCCAGGATAGGGCGCCCTCTCCAGCAGTAGCTCTGCCCTGTCCCTCCATTCCCAGGCCCCTGGCCCTGGCCCTAACCCAGGCCTGGGTAGGCCACCCAGGGCAGCTCCTCACTCACCCCTGGAGGAAGGTGGAGATGAGTGCCTCCTTCACTTTCTCTTGCTCCGCCTCTTTGGGCACTGTCAGAAGAACTGGGTGAGCCATTAGGAAGATGTCCCAGATCCCGATGAGTTTGATTCCAGGGTCAGACCCCTACCCAGAATGTCCAGGTCGCCCTAGGGGCCCTGGCCTCAGCTCTGAGCTGGGGCTATACCTGAACCCACCTCCCTGTCCCACAGTCACCCTAGTTGGTGATGATGGGTGGAGAATGGGAATCTACCCTTGATGCGCCAGCCCTCAGAAGGGCTGAGGAGGGCTCAGAAAACAGAGGGGCCTTGGGAGAGGCCTCTCAGGCCAGCTGTACAGAGCTGGATGGGGCTGGACCCAGGAAGGGTCTGAGGCTCAATATCACCAAGGTATGACCTGCTCTTGGGATCTCCCCAGCACTGGGGAAGAACAAGATGGGGAGGGAGAAGGGTCTAGGGTAGCATGCTCTGAGAGTCTCTGACACCACCCAGCACCCACCATACCCCAGGCCCAGTCACCCTGTCCACCCAACTCACGGCCCGAGATGTGCAGGCCAGCAGAGCACAGGGCCTGGCCAGCTGCATTGGTGGCGATGCATGTGTAAGTGCCCTGATGTTGCCGGCCCACATCCAGCAGGACCAAGCTATGCTGCTGGGCAGAGCTGGCCACAGTGTAGCCTGGTGTGTTGGGGCCAATCCACAGCACACCCTTCTCAGCCTCCTCTTTGAGCCAATGCACGGTGGGAGCTGGGCATCCTGTGGATGAGAGAGAGGGTAACAGGTACATCCTTGCCAAAAACAGGGCCCATCCCCTTCTGAAATGGGGGCTTTGGAGGTGGGATCCTTGCCTCTGACCCACCCCAGAGGTGATGTGAGTGTGGAGGGAGTGCATTTGTCCTGTCCAAAAAGTGATCTTTTCATGTCTGGGGAGACAGGAAGCACCCTACCTTCTACCTTCACAGAAAACGTGATGCTGGAGCCCTTCTTCACTTTCTTGGGGGTAAACTTCTCCAGGATTCGGGGTGGTATAAGCTGCTCATGCACATCTAGAAAAATATGGAGTAGATGGTGGGGACCCACTGGCACAGCTCCGCCTCCTGTATCCTGGCTCCCCACCACACTGGGAGACACCTAACCATCTCTCTCTCATACCCTCAATGGGCCAGCTCCATGGCTGCCCATACGTCCACTATGGCCAACCCCAGGCCCAGGGCTGTCTCTGCTCTGGTCCTTGGTGCCATGTTCTACCCACACTCTCTCTAGCCACATGGGGCCATCTCACCTAATGCTGGCTTCTCTTCTGGTTGATCAGGGCCTGAAAGAAGAACAGAAGTCATACATACAGCACTCATGGGTGTCCCCTTCCTTTGGCCCTGCACACAGTGCTATGGTGGTGTCCAGTGGTCCTGCCCATTGCAGTAGAGGGGACCCAAGAATGGCTCAGCCCAATGCACAGAGGTCTCCAACAGCTTGCCTGAAAGTTCAGCTATGAAACCAGGGTGCTGACACACTCAAGTGTGAGAGAGTCAACAGCTTCACAGACCAGACATGATGCTACATCCCATCACCAGCCCTGGTCCCTACGCTGGACTCTGGGGTTCTGCTCTAGAGCCAGTGCACAGACACCTGTGCTCGAAGCAGCTGAAGAATAGTCACACTGAGGGATAAGGGACAGCCACAGTAACACTGAATCCTTTGCAGCAGGATGGGTTTGGGTCAAACATGGAATTAACTTTCAATGCTCAGGACTTTTTGAAAAATAAGGAAATATGAACCTTTCTCCCTAAAGTTACCACTGGCTTATTGCTCTGTGTGGTTCTATTAGAGGGCGTTAATGTTAGCCTACTTCCCTGGGATACTTCAACTACCAGCTTGCCATCAGCCAGGACAAAGGGGCCCCAAGAGGGCACCCACTTCCTACATGGCTGACTTGTGGCCTCCACTGATACTCTGTATGTAGGTGACAACTGATGGGCCCTGGGTCCCAGGTTTGATATGGCAGTGTGCAAGCAGATTTTAGTGCTGATTGGGACACTGGCCAAGGTCCACAGCTCTGCCCAGCCCCTTGGAGCTCCCACCTCGGACTAGCAGCCGGGCAGATGAGTAGGCGGCACCCACAGCATTGCTGATGTAGGCTGCATACTGGCCAGCATCCTCCTGGGTGACTGAGATGATCTCCAGGGTGTGCAGGGTCTTCTTGTCAGTCATTCGGATGTGGGCAGATGCAGTCAATGGCTGTCCGTCTTTGAACCAGTACAGTCTAGGTGCTGGGTAGCCTAGGGTTGCAGGGAGGAGTGGTCAGCACAGTGACACCCTCAAATGAGCACTGGTCTTTCCAGATAAGAGAGAGCCAAAAGGAGGTCGCTCAGAGACCCCTATGCCACTGGTGTACCAGGGAGCAGACACACATAACCACGTGGATCTCCCAGTTGTGGCTGACAGGAGGGAGCTCTCTGGCCTCCATCCCACCATGGAGGCGACCATGACTTTCTGCCTCTCACCTTTTACTTTGAGCTGAAACTTGGCAAGGCGTGTGCCAGGGGCCACCTGGAGGTCTTTTAGCTCCTCTACCACCTGAGGCAGCTGCCCCTCATCTGTAGTGGACTCTGTTCCCTCTTGTTCCCGGCTGGCAGAGAGAACAGAAAAAGGGGCAGTCATGAAGTAAGCTAGGGAGGAATGGAAGGGTACTGTAGGGGTAAGGATCAGGCATAGATGAGTTTTGAGGTTCCATGTTGGCCAAACAGATGGAAAGAGGGAGAGAAGACTGCCAGAGCCTGACAGAAACCTTCAAGATTTGGGTTCTGTCAGGCCAAACCCCAGCCCATCAGCCTGGCATCATCACTCCCTCAGAGACCCTGGGACTGTCAGTCCAAGGGGCACTGTCTACCTCTGCATGACCTCCTACCTGGACAGGTAGCCTTGGGCACTGAAGTATGATGAGGTCTCCGTGGCATCAGCTGCAGTGTCATAGTCTGTGCTTGTCACTAGGGAAGGAAGAGAGCAGCTGGAGCAAGGCCTGATGCCCCATCTACCTAGGCATGGGCCCCTGTACCAGGACCACCTTGACCCTCAGAGGTTCAGACTACATACCCTTGCCTGGGAGTCACTGAAACTCAGGAGCCATGAAGTCATTAAGAGGAACAGCTACATTGTAACTTCTCCACTCTGTTACCAGCCCATATTTATAGGTCTGTAACTAACCACAGGCTTCTTTGATCCAACAAATTCTAAATACTGAATGATTCTAAGGCTTTCTAAATGGCAGGCAGTGATAGTGCCGGCTCTTTCAGTTCTATTCTACTAGGAAACAAGAGAATGAAGAGATACAGGCCTCTCAACCAACAGCTGGGGACCTATGTCTTTAGACAAGATGGAGTAACAAGGGCTGTACCCACTCTCATGAATTGAATGTTTCTGCTCCCCCCAATCTATTTATTTAAATATTAACCCCCAAAACAATGGTAATAGGATGTGGAGCCTTTGGGAAGTAATTAGAACATGAGGGTAGAGAACTCACAAATAGGACTAGCGCTCTTACTCAAGGGACCCCAGAGGGCTCTCACTCT